TCACATATGGTATGGTTAGAAAGAAACAAAGGACGTGAGATAATTGCTATCGTCAGAACAAACTGACACGCACTTACTTTATGTGTAAGTGGCTGTATGTATGTATGTATTTATTTATTTATTTATTTGTGATCGTGATAATGTGGTATAGGTGCGTTCATTTGACGGTAGTTCTCTTTTTGGAGGATGTGGTGGCCCTGAAAAGGGCCGTTTTGGTTTGTGTATGCTAGGCATACGACTTATGCTCGCTCACCGCGGATGCGACGGGCAAGTTGGATATCTTTGGGCATGATGGTTACACGTTTGGCGTGAATGGCACACAGGTTGGTGTCTTCGAAAAGACCTACTAGGTATGCCTCGCTGGCTTCTTGTAGGGCCATCACGGCGGAGCTCTGGAATCGAAGGTCGGTCTTGAAATCTTGCGCAATTTCTCGAACCAGACGCTGGAATGGCAGCTTTCGGATCAGGAGCTCTGTACTTTTCTGGTAACGGCGGATCTCACGAAGAGCGACGGTGCCAGGCCTGTAACGATGTGGTTTCTTCACTCCGCCAGTAGCAGGTTTACGTGCTGTTTGCTTGGTACGTGCCATGTCGAGTACAGAGTACGAGTACTTTTTTCGATGTCAGAATAAAGTAGAATATGTTTGAAAGGTGCAGTCTCTATTTTCATACTCTATTAGCCGGCGCTTCACGCCAGCTGATTGGTGAATGAATTAATATTGTGATTGGCCGGTATATGGTGGCCGTGATTGGTCGAAATTAACGAATTCTTATTGGCTGAGCGTAACCTTGTCAGAATCCCGATTTGTACTGAAGCTTGTCCAAACCAGTCACGTAAACAACAACAATATTCGAAACAATGTCGCATGAAGGCGCTGTCATCCCGCTTAAATCAGTGCATATATAAATGGGCGTATAACGTTTTACAAACCACCTGTCATGGGGGCGCCCTCTCTCGGTACATTCATCAGAATGCGATCACGTAACATATGAAACCACGAATGTAGGTAGATATATTATCTATCATTTATTTATTTATTTATTTATGTATTTTTAATTACAGTAGTAAACAATGGATTTTGCCACGGTATATTTCTAGGATTACTCACGTTTGACGCAAAAAAAAAATACATACATACACAGAGACATACAGTCATACAGACACACGTACTGTTTTCGGTAGTTCTCTTTTTGGAGGATGTGGTGGCCCTGAAAAGGGCCGTTTGGTTTGGATGCAGCGAAGTACATCATTTTATTTTTTGGTGGTGTGTTTCTTTGTTGTCGGCTTCTTTGGGTTTTGAAGCCTTTTTGGGTGTTTTCTTTTGAGCCGGCTTTTTAGTGGTAGTTTTCTCTGATTTCTTTGTGGCGGTATTTTTAGCTTGTGGTTTCTTGTCCGACTTTGGCTTTTTCGTAACCTCTTGTCCGACTTTGGCTTTTTCGTAACCTTCTTGTCCTTGGGTTTCTTGTCTTTCAGTGTTGGCTTCTTGGTCGACGTTTTCTTTGGTACAGCTTTCTTGGTTACTGCCTTCTTTTTTGGCTTCTCTGGGAGCTTGCCGATTCTGAGACGACCATTTACGCCATTAGCATTAGA